TATAAGGCACTGAACACGGACAGCGACTGGGATTTTCTGTTCTATTTCTTCATCATGACACTGACCCCCACATCAAAGCAAAAAGTTCGTAAACATAACCACATGTAACTATACTGTATTTATCAAGTAGTAGTGTATACACCCAGAAGCATACACTCAGGCAGCACACCCAGAAATACAATGCCTAAACATATTAGCAAATGCATGAAAGAATGAGCAACAGCAGAAGCAGAGATAGAGTGGAAAATTTAAGTTGTGGAAAGTGACTAGATTTTGAGGGCCGTGTGTGGAGTTAAGGGGCCCTGCAGGGTAAAACTCTTAAAACTGCCACTATACAAGGCACTTTACATGTATGGTGAGTCACACAGTTACCAGTCTTGCTCCACACCCACCCAACTGGGCGGCAGCTTTATAATCATGTGCTCCACACCCACCCAACTGGGCGGCAGCTTTATAATCATGTGCTCCACACCCACCCAACTGGGCGGCAGCTTTATAATCATGTGCAGTCTGCACCTACAGAACGCAAATTTAACACTCCGCTAGGATTCCCGGCACTCTGTCTCTATAAATGAAGTACTTACACATTTCTTGGACACCATTGATGGGGTTATCTTTAAATTCTGCGATTTTTTTCACATTCCATTATAGTAGTGTAAATGATCAAGCTAAGCAAATAAATTCCTACAATTCGATGTTGGTAAATAATGCAAATCTGATGAGGAAAATACAGACATACAGCAAATGCAACGAAACAAGCATTAAAATACGTGAAACAACACAGTGAGGTGGGGGGTGGAGACTGAAGGGGACAGATCTTAGTGACGGGGAGATGTGGAAGGACCGCTCGCCCCACAACACACGGACTATCCCAGGAAGCACATTCAACCCGTATACAATCAGTGATACATGTAAAGCCTATCTAATAAAAAAATGACCAGGAAAAAATAATTTAAAACACTTCACCATATCTGAGGTTAGTGCTAGAGTATGCATATTATCACGACATGCAATGTAATTAGACAATGAATAAGGGAAGCCAGTATATCATAGATGGGAAGAGAACAAGAGAACACAGATGGAAATATGAAAGTGCTTCAGGGTACCACGCTACATAGCCTTACAGGTTTGTGCCTTCTTTTGATAATTACTTACTTCAGGGTACCAGCAGACTACGCAGGATATTGACAGATCATTTATGAGAGGAACCAGAACTCGGGAACATAGATAAACATTCAACACACAGACAAGTCAGAGGGATGTCTGCAGCAACATTGTCAGTCACAGTGATGTTCGCAAGAACTCTAAACTGTGATACGAGGCAGCAAAGGGTGACTCCATACATGGCTGAAGACATGAAGACACATGTGTTTTCGACACCACGGTGTCGCAACCCCTATTGCCGTACCCTTCATTTGTCTATAGGTTTTACCGTCGAAAGCTAATAAGGTGTCCCTCAATACGTGTAAGACAGCTTCTTCTAACTGTTTGTTTGTTGGTGGCCTAAAGACTCCTGCTCGTCTCAGGTCCTGTTTAATTCTATTTTTGATGTCACAAAACGAACTCTGCCATCTTTTAAGCCGCTTCTTTCTGTGGCATACTTGGAGAGTGAGACTACGTCCAGAGAGAAAAGGCATAACCCTTGTGGTATAGGATCTTTAAGTGATTGTAGTCTCCTGATGAAGTCTGTTGTGTCTTTTAGACGTTCCAGTAGGAATTTAAGGAGGGGCGTTAGGAGGGCTGTGAATATCTAATCCACTGGCCTGGTTGGGGTCCTTCATCCACTTATAATTGGTCTACCCTGCCAAGAGTTCATTTCAATTAACTTTGTTAATTTTGGGGAGGTTTTATAGTGCTGGGATTTTAGTGACAAAAGCTAAGAGTTTGTCTCTTGCTTTTGCTGTGACCCATATTGCCCCCAGACCTATCATCTTTATTCCTGTATAGTTTTATTATTAATTGTTTGCTTCGTGTTTGTGTGTTTTTTTTAAGCGCCACCTGCGGGTACTTGTACATAAGTTGACTTGGCCTCTACCTGTCGAAGCATCTCCTTTCTATTATTATCTTTTTTTCCATACAACTATTGCGCTCCCTTTGTCTGCTGGTTTGATTACAACACACCGCATAGGTTCGAACCCTCATCACGGCTCCTACGGATTTTCTCGTTATTATTATTATTATTATTGTTATTATTGAACAAATCCACAGGAGCCTTGTTGATGGTTCGAACGTATGCGCTGAGTGTTCCCAGACGCGCTCCTTTTTTGATGTTTGTGTTTGCTTGTGTGTGATTGTGCTTGTGTGTTTGAGTGTTTTTGTGTGTGCTTCTTTGTTTTTGTTTGTATATGTTTGTGCTTGTTTGTGTTTGTGTAGGTGTATTTATGCATGTGTTTATGTGTGGGTGTGTGCGTACTCACCTAGTTGCTTGCGGGGGTTGAGCTCTGGCTCTTTGGTCCCGCCTCTTAACTGTCAATCAACTGGTGTACAGGTTCCTGAGCCTACTGGGCTCTGTCATATCTACATTTGAAACTGTGTATGGAGTCAGCCTCCACCAAAGCACTGATTAATGCATTCCATCTCGTAACTACATCTGTAAAATAACTACATGTGTGTGTGTGTGTTTACTATTTGTGTCTGCTGAACCGAGCTATATTAGCTTTTGGACCCCGCCTTTTTAACCAATCTATTTTTCCTCTATTATGTCTACTACATATATTTTCTCTCTTTGCACACACACACACACACACACACACACACACACACACACACACACACACACACACACACACACACACACACACCAGTTGATTGACGGTTGAGAGGCGGGACCAAAGAGCCAGAGCTCAACCCCCGCAAGCACAATTAGGTGAGTACAATTAGGTGAGTACACACACACACACACACACACACACACACACACACACACATACACACATACACACACACACACACACATACACACACACACACACACACACACACACACACACACACACACACACACACACACACACACACATCCCCCCAGGAAGCAGCCCGTAGCAGCTGTCTAACTCCCAGGTACCTATTTACCGCTAGGTGAACAGAGGCATCAGGGTGATAGACACTCTGCCCATTTGTTTCCGCCTCAAACACGGGCCATTAGGACTACAACCACCAAGCGTTATCCAGTCAGCCGTGAGGCCACCTAACATCAACACCATCATCAATGGTTGACCAAATGACCGAGGACCAGTAGCCAACACCGTCATCAATGGTCGACCGACGACCAGTAGCCAACACCGTCATCAATGGTTGACCAAGTGACCGACAACCAGTAGCCAACACCGTCATCAATGGTTGACCAAGCGACCGAGGACCAGTAGTCAACACCGTCATCAATGGTTGACCAAGTGACCGACGACCAGTAGCCAACACCGTCATCAATGGTCGACCGACGACCAGTAGCCAACACCGTCATCAATGGTTGACCGACGACCAGTAGCCAACACCGTCATCAATGGTTGACCAAGCGACCGAGGACCAGTAGTCAACACCGTCATCAATGGTTGACCCAGCGATCGACGACCAGTAGCCAACACCGTCATCAATGGTTGACCAAGTGACCGACGACCAGTAGCCAACACCGTCATCAATGGTTGACCAAGTGACCGATGACCAGTAGTCAACACCGTCATCAATGGTTGACCAAGTGACCGAGGACCAGTAACCAACACCGTCATCAATGGTTGACCGACGACCAGTAGCCAACACGGTCATCAATGGTTGACCCAGCGACCGACGACCAGTAGTCAACACCGTCATCAATGGTTGACCCAGCGACCGACGACCAGTAGTCAACACCGTCATCAATGGTTGACCAAGCGACCGACGACCAGTAGCCAACACCGTCATCAATGGTTGACCCAGCGACCGACGACCAGTAACCAACACCGTCATCAATGGTTGACCAAGTGACCGACGACAGTAGCCAACACCGTCATCAATGATTGACCAAGTGACCGACGACAGTAGCCAACACCGTCATCAATGGTTGACCAAGTGACCGACGACAGTAGCCAACACCGTCATCAATGGTTGACCAAGCGACCGACGACCAGTAACCAACACCGTCATCAATGGTTGACCAAGTGACCGACGACAGTAGCCAACACCGTCATCAATGGTTGACCAAGTGACCGACGACAGTAGCCAACACCGTCATCAATGGTTGACCAAGTGACCGACGACAGTAGCCAACACCGTCATCAATGGTTGACCAAGCGACCGACGTCCAGTAAACACCGTCATCAATGGTTGACCAAGCGACCGACGACCAGTAACCAACACCGTCATCAATGGCTGACCAAGTGACCGACGACAGTAGCCAACACCGTCATCAATGGTTGACCAAGCGACCGATGACCAGTAACCAACACCGTCATCAATGGTTGACCAAGTGACCGACGACAGTAGCCAACACCGTCATCAATGGTTGACCAAGTGACCGACGACAGTAGCCAACACCGTCATCAATGGTTGACCAAGTGACCGACGACAGTAGCCAACACCGTCATCAATGGTTGACCAAGTGACCGACGACCAGTAGCCAACAGCGTCATCAATGGTTGACCCAGCGACCGACGACAGTAGTCAACACCGTCATCAATAATTGACCAAGCGACCGACGTCCAGTAAACACCGTCATCAATGGTTGACCCAGCGACCGACGACCAGTAGTCAACACCGTCATCAATGGGTGACCCAGCGACCGAGGAGCTGGTCAACAACTTGGTCATCAATAACAGGTGCCGAGGAACGCACTTCGCTCCTCTAGTTGTTTTTGTTAATGATTTTCCACACAGCCCGGAGCGTATATTGTTTTTTATCAAACCCGTTTTATTTACAACGTAATTGTAACTCTGCTTAACTTTTTCCGTGTGTGTGCTTGGTGCCCCCAAGCTGCGGGTTTTTGCCTCGATATTGTTATTATTAGTAGCAATAATGTCAGTAGCACTGACTTACCTCTCGCCACGAGAGGCCATTCTTAACCTGGTTTTGGTGTATTCAGCTTCACGGTACACATAACCTGTGTATCCTTCTTCACGGTACACATAACCTGTGTATTCAGCTTCACGGTACACATAACCTGTGTATTCAGCTTCACGGTACACATAACCTGTGTATTCAGCTTCACGGTACACATAACCTGTGTATTCAGCTTCACGGTACACATAACCTGTGTATTCAGCTTCACGGTACACATAGCCTGTGTATTCAGCTTCACGGTACACATAACCTGTGTATTCAGCTTCACGGTACACATAGCCTGTGTATTCAGCTTCACGGTACACATAACCTGTGTATTCAGCTTCACGGTACACATAGCCTGTGTATCCTTCTTCACGGTACACATAACCTGTGTATCCTTCTTCACGGTACACATAGCCTGTGTATCCTTCTTCACGGTACACATAGCCTGTGTATCCTTCTTTACGGTACACATAGCCTGTGTATCCTTCTTCACGGTACACATAGCCTGTGTATCCTTCTTTACGGTACACATAACCTGTGTATCCTTCTTCACGGTACACATAGCCTGTGTATCCTTCTTTACGGTACACATAGCCTGTGTATCCTTCTTCACGGTACACATAGCCTGTGTATCCTTCTTCACGGTACACATAGCCTGTGTATCCTTCTTTACGGTACACATAACCTGTGTATCCTTCTTCACGGTACACATAGCCTGTGTATCCTTCTTCACGGTACACATAACCTGTGTATTCAGCTTCACAGTACACATAACCTGTATTTGAGAACTTTCTGCCCTCCTAACCCACCAGAGGACCCTTAACTTGCTGTTTTGGAAAAAATATCAAAATTTTAATTGGAAAATATATTTCCATTTTGAATTACGTCGATATTTGGCCGTAGCGCATACGAGCGAAAAGTGACTTAATTTGTAAGAGGACGGGCTGTCTCAACACCATAATGTTGGTATCAATCTCAGTGAGGCTCAAACTATCTTCATTGACCACATGAAAGCAGATATCCTTGAGGAACATAAGCTAAGGTCACTGCAGAGTCTTCTCATAGACTGCAGCTATATCATATCTTGGTATGGCTTTCCAACATCCAGTGTCAAGTCCTCCTTTATTAAAGATATCCTGACCCGGAGGATTAAGGGGCATGGTCGGCGTCCACTCCGGCCCTCTGAGGAACCGGAGCGACCTAGTTGATGACATGTCTGGGGGCGGGTCATATATCGACCTAGCGCTCTCAACCGTCGGTGTCAACCGTCACTAATTAGTGCGAAACGTGGCTGAGCAGATCAAGGATGACGTGCAGTCAATGAGACTCCACCAGGTGTCGCAGAGACGCGAGGAGCTAGAAGAGGAGGATGAGCCCTAACATCCCCAGGTCCAGCTGCTCTCTGCTTTGCAGGGGAAGAATGGGATATATCTGTCTGCAGTCTCGCCTCCCTCATCTCACAGTACCCGACCTCTACCTCCATCTGTACCACCCTCACCCTCCTCAGGATGGCTCGTAACAAGGAACTTGTTGGCTCATACTACAAGCTGGGCTAAAGATCAGCTACCAGAACGTGCTTCTCCTGCCTGACCTCTGGGACATGCAAGGCCCCGAATGATACTCGAGCTGCCCTGGCGAGATCGCCGAGGGAGAACCAAGCCTCAGTATCGTCGACTCTACCAGCGGCACCTTGACAGGACTGGGGTACTGCACACCGCTGTAGCTGGGTGGTCGCTGCCGCCACACACGACCTGCTTGGCCACGCACCTGCACGCACTCACTCCAGCTGAAGAGAGCGAGGAAGATGATGGTAAGGAGGAGTATGATGAGGGAGGTGATGATGTAGAGAGAAGGTTCATCACATTCACCTAAATCTGATGATTTAGATTTTAGTGAGGCAGAATGCTCTGATTCGGACTGATCATATCTCTCAAGGTCACATTGATTCATCAGTTACAAAGTCCTAACAATGTGGAATATGACACGAAAGAATAATAGGTGACTGCAAAATGTGTTTCATCTCTGTTGTGGTGTAATTTGTTTAAAGAAAATGACAAAAGTGCCAGTTTCAGAGTAATTTTTTTTGTATTGATATTCATTAAGTAATTTCATTTTAAAACTTAAATTTCCAGCTATTTAAAAAGAACTATTTTGAAGAGTGATGAGTTATTTGTAATGTATTCATCAATTACAAATATTATTCGTCAGTTTACTTTATTGTAAGAAATTCTTAAGAAGGTAATTGCTTTAAATACAAAGGCTACGTTTCTGTTCGATTTTTTCGTTACGATTCTTCTCTCCAGATGCCGGGCATCTTGGATTTCTGTGTCAAAATTATATCCTACCGCCAAACTAATGTCAGATTCGGGATTCCCGTGTTCGACTCTCCCGAAAAAGTGTGTTCGTGCGTCAGAGCACCGGCGCCCAGGTTCACAACTTAATACTTCGAGACGGCTCCGGCGGCCATCTTGGATTAATTGGGCCTCAGGCGAAAAATGCCGGAATTTTGGCAATGGACATAGTGGGGGGGGGGGACGGACATGGTGGTGGGGGACGGACATGGTGGGGGGGGGGACGGACATGGTGGTGGTGGGGACGGACATGGTGGTGGGGGGGACGGACATGGTGGGGGGGATGGACATGGTGGAGGGGGGACGGACAGACATGATGTGGGGGGGGACACGGACAGACATGATGGGGTGGGGGGACGGACATGGTGGGGTGGGGGGGGGGACGGACATGGTGGGGGGGTCGGACACGGTGGGGAGAACGGACACGGTGGGGTGGGGGACGGACATGGGGGGGACGGACACTGTGGGGTGAGGGGACATGGTGGGGGGCGGACACGGTGGGGTGAGGGGACATGGTGGGGGGGACGGACACGGTGAGGGGCTCGGATATGGTGGGATGGGGGGGGACGGACATGGTGGGGTGAGGGGACATGGTGGGGGGGGGACGGACACGGTGGGGGGGGGTTGGACATGGTGGGGGGACGGACATGGTGGGGGAGGACGGACACGGTGGGGTGAGGGGACATGGTGGGGGGGGACGGAAACGGTGGGGTGAGGGGACATGGTGGGGGGGGGACGGACGCGGTGGGGTGAGGGGACATGGTGAGGGGGGACGGACACGGTGGGGTGAGGGGACATGGTGGGGGGGACGGACACGGTGGGGTGAGGGGACATGGTGGGGGGGGACGGACACGGTGGGGTGAGGGGACATGGTGGGGGGGGACGGACACGGTGGGGTGAGGGGACATGGGGGGGGACGGACACGGTGGGGTGAGGGGACACGGTGGGATGGGGGGACGGACATGGTGGGGTGAGGGGACATGGTGGGGGGGACGGACATGGTGGGGTGAGGGGACATGGTGGGGGGGACGGACATGGTGGGGTGGGGGGACGGACATGGTGGGGTGAGGGGACATGGTGGGGGGGACGGACATGGTGGGGTGTTGGGACGGACACGGGGGGGGGACGGACATGGTGGGGTGGGGTGACGGACATGGTGGGGGGTGACGGACATGGTGGGGGGGGACGGACATGGTGGGGGGTGACAGACATGGTGGGGGGTGACAGACATGGTGGGGGGGGGACGGACACGGTGGGGTGAGGGGACGTGGTGGGGGGGGACGGACACGGTGGGGTGAGGGGACATGGGGGGGGGACGGACACGGTGGGGTGAGGGGACACGGTGGGATGGGGGGACGGACATGGTGGGGTGAGGGGACATGGTGGGGGGGACGGACATGGTGGGGGGGACGGACATGGTGGGGTGAGGGGACATGGTGGGGGGGACGGACATGGTGGGGTGGGGGGACGGACATGGTGGGGTGAGGGGACATGGTGGGGGGGACGGACATGGTGGGGTGGGGGGACGGACACGGGGGGGGGACGGACATGGTGGGGTGGGGTGACGGACATGGTGGGGGGTGACGGACATGGTGGGGGGGACGGACATGGTGGGGGGTGACAGACATGGTGGGGGGGGACGGACATGGGGGGGGGGACGAACACGGTGGGGGGGAGACGGACATGGTGGTGGGGGGGGGAAGAATTGGGCTAAATTTTTTATTAAAGGTCAGAAAAAAAATCAAATCAATTGTCAAACCTTACTTATATGAGAGTGGTCATGGAATTGAGGTTTTAAACCTCTTTAATAGTACTAAATGTAAATATCACATATTTAATGGGACTAAAAACATATATAATCTCATACTAAATATTTTGTATATAAGAATATACCACTGCAACAGATTCTTATCTCTTAATATCACATTTACACTCTGGTGGAATTTGAGAATATAACTCCAGAACTCTTCGCTCTTACAGTGATGATTATCACAATAATGACACCACAACACAGACTTATATAGTGAAACCCCGCGATATAGACCAGGATGAAGCACTGGCAGCGCCATTTTGGTACACGAAGACAGTTTGTCGCTCACGAACAAATTATTATTCAAGGAAATAATATATTGTGAGTGAAATCCCTATAATGTAAACCAAACAGATTATCCACAAAGAGCAGAGCCTGGTATGGTATGACCAGGAGCCTCGCCTCGGGGGGTAGCTGCTCTTTTATCACTGCCTCCTTCTCTTTCTTGGAGTCACCCAGCAACCAAAGTAACTCTAGAATTGCAACGCCTCGAGGCACTAGGGCGGGCAATATTCCTCTTGAACTACGGTGGGTCTCCCACTGCTCGCACACGCTCCGTCACTGTGGTAACAACAAGGTACTCTAGGACTCGAACATGTCAAACACGCGGACCTTTGCAAGCACACACATGCGGCCCGCACAAAGGATACTGTAATTTGGTCACTTAACGGCCAAAATTGCAATTTTTTATAATTTAAGCTATTACCTTTTAATAGATTTCAAAAGCACAAAAGAAATACGAATGCAGCTGATGACATCAAATGCTTCAATACAAAACTAAGCTTATGGAAGTCACAGTTATCAAATGAAAATTTAGTTCAGTTTCGTAAGTGCAAAGAGCTGAAAAACACTACCAATACTGAGTCTGTACTTAGCTTTGCTAATTATGACATTCAACTGGAATTGTTGTCATAGGAATTTCAGGAAAGATTTCGTGATTTCTCATCTTTTGAACACCACTTTGCATTATTCTCAGCACCATTCACCTTTGATGTTGCCAAGGCAGAAGAAAGCCTGCAGATATAACTATTAGAAATGCAGGTCGGATTATATAGTCAGAGCAAAGTGTCTTGAAGTGCGGATACCTGGTTTCTTTTCACACCTTCCTGAAAAGTTTAAAAACTTCTGAAAATTTGCCACAAGGGTTATGGCACTGTTCGGTTCTATGTGTGTGTGTGAACAGTTATTTTCCTTCATGAAATCAACAAAAACATCTCAGAGAACAAAGCTGACTGGTCAACCCTTGTCATTTCTGATCAAAGTGGGAACTGCACAAATAATTCAGCCAGAAATAGCAAAAATTGTCATTAAAAAATAAGTGTCAAACCTCAGGAAAAACACAAAAAATTATTGAATAGTCGTAAATAAATGTTCATTTTGAAATGTTATAATTTGTGTGCAATGTATTTGTTGCTGTTGCATAGAAGTTGACCAAACCACACACTAGAAAGTGAAGGGACGACGACGTTTCGGTCCCTCCTGGATCATTCTCAAGTCGATTGTGAATGGTCCAGGACGGACCGAAACGTCGTCGTCCCTTCACTTTCTAGTGTGGGGTTTGGTCAACATATTTTAGCCACGTTATTGTTACTCCTCGTCTGAATTTGCATAGTTTAAAATTATGTTGCCGTTTAAAATTTCGCTTTGTTTTTTGTTTTTTAAACTACTTCATTACTTTACATTCATGAATGTGGGTAGCCGCTAAACCATTTGTAATCACATTGTATGTTTCTAAGTTTAAGTAATACAAATAGTCTGCAATAATTTTTATTAAATGACTTCAATTAGTTGTGGTGTGTGGCCCTCATGACAACACAAATGTGGCCCATATGGCCTTCGGGAGGGCCCTCAGTTTGACATGCCTGGTCTAGGTCCTCTCAAGGCAAGGAACACATGGTGTGACTTGTCCACACATGTCACAATCTCAATGAATGTTATCGTCGGTAAGCTAAGATTTTTATCGCTCATTGGACTGGACGGTCGAATGAACGACGGTCTGGATTCACGCAGGTCGGTGTTCAATCCCCGACCGTCCAAGTGTTTAGGCACCATTCCTTCCCCCCCCCCCCCCCGTCCCATCCCAGATCTTTATCCTGATCCCTTCCAAGTGCTATATAGCCGTAATGACTTGGCACTTTCTCCTGATAATTCCATTCCCTTTGCTTCATTGTCAGGAAGCAATGGGAAGGTTAGCGGGCCAGCCAGAGGTTTAGGGCCCGGCACAGGCACATCCCCGCAAAAAAATGAAGGAAAGTTCTCCTCGTCAGCACATTCCATCGACACTTGACCAATCCGTTGTTACAACATAATATTAAGTTGGTAACTCCCAAAGCAATAGGCTTGATAATACTGTTGTTTGGGATCTGGACCTAGATTCACGAAGCTCCATGTATTTCTTCGTAAGTAGGTGTGCTACGAAGGTTCTTAAGTATTGTCTAAGAACGTTCCTTCGTCCGATTCAGAAAAGGGTTCTTTCGAAGATTTTAGCAACTTAAGTCTCGCTAGATGTCACTAGGGCTTTTCGTGTGGCCTATCACAGAGAAGGCAACATTTTTCATCTTACAGCTGTAGCCAATCACGACGCTGGCATATCGGAGCTCATCCGTGGTCACTTGCCCCCAATGTACGTCAAATGTTCTTATAAAATTAGTATATTTCGAAGGAAACTATGTTTTTTTAACTTCTACAGTCAGCACCGACATTGCAGTAAATAAATATAATACATTTTTTTTTTTACCCACGTAATTCTAAGAGATATTGTGTGGTTTTCTTTTGTCACTGCGAAGATT